TAATGAATGCCTAACCTATGACAGAATTCCCAGGGATAGGAAAATGGGAAGCCCTATCTGGCTTCTATCACTGTGCTGTTGGTCTACATATTACAATAACTACTCAGTGGGTATATATTGTTCTCATTTGAAGAACTACAGAGGTAGGTAGACATAGAGTGAATGGAGAAAAGATTGCGAGACCATGTCTAAAATAGTCCTCAGGAAACTTTAGTGTTTATCGTGGAGGCAGACCCATCCTTTATATCCTACACAGTCAAAATTCATAATTAACAGATGTCAAGGCCCTTTAGTATAACAGATCTCAACTGATTGTCACCAGCTTCCCATCAAATGCAGAGGGCAGATGGTATTTATCTGCATTGTACAGAAATTAATAATCACACCAATAGTTAAGAGTTATAGAGCATGCATTATGTGCCTGGAACTTATGCTAAATCCTGTAATCACTATATTCATGTACAATACCATTAATGTCTCCACTTTACAGACGTTGAAACAGGGTCTTAGATTAAGTAATTCATGTAAGGTCAAACAGTAGAGAATGGAGCTGCAACTTAATCTCGACTGTCTCTCAAATTCCTAACTTTGGACCTCTGCTCAGATGAACAAAATGGAACTTGGACATTAAGTAACTCGCTCGAAGTTCTACAACTAGTAATAACTGGCATTATCGAACTTGGGTCTTGTAACTTATTCTCATCTCACTGGAGATCTTCAGTGAAGATGTCAGCTTTCTCATAGAAAAAGAATTCACTAAACTAAAGGAAGAAGATTAAACAAATATTTTTTGCCAATGAAAAAACAGGCCTCAAAGGAAGATACTTTAAATAAATTATATTTTGTAGTTATTACATTTTTAAGGAGGATATTTTTAAACATGTACAGCACTCTTCCCTTCCAAAAAAAAAGTAGCCTATAAAATATTAATGCTTTCAAATTTGTATGAACGCATGTCTATCTGTCTATCTATCTATCTATCTATCTATCTATCTATCTATCTATCTATCTACAGTTGACCCTTGAACAACATGAGTTTGAAATGCACGGGGTCCACTTATATGTGGATTTATTTTTATAAATCCGGACAGTACAGTAAATGTACTTCCTCTTATGATCTTTTTTTTTTAAGATTTATTTATTTATTTGACAGAGAGAATGCGCATGCATGCATGAGTGGGGAGGGGGCAGAGGGCAAGGAAGAGAGGTTCTTAAGCAAATACCACACTGAGCACTGAGGCAGAGCCCAAGGCAGGGCTGATCTCATGACCACCAAGATCAAGACCCCAGCTGAAACCAAGAGTCGGATGCCCAACCAACTGTGCCACACAGGTGCCCATTCCTTATGATCTTCTTTTTTTTTTTTTTTTTTTTTTAAAGATTTTATTTATTTATTTGAGAGAGAGAATGAGAGACAGAGAGCAAGAGAGGGAGGAGGGTCAGAGGGAGAAGCAGACCCCCCGCCGAGCAGGGAGCCCGATGCGGGACTCGATCCCGGGACCCCAGGATCATGACCTGAGCCGAAGGCAGTCGCTTAACCAACTGAGCCACCCAGGCGCCCTCCTTATGATCTTCTTAATAACTTTTTCTTTCCTCTAGCTTACTTTGTTGTAAGAATATAGTGCACAATACATATAACATACACAATGCAAGTGAGCTGACTGCTATTGATAAGGCTTCTGGTCAACAGTAGGTTATTAGTAGTAAAGTTTTTGGGCAGTCAAAAATTATATGCAGATTTGACTGCACAGAGTGGGGGTTTTGGGGAGGCAGGGTTGGGAGGGTAGAGGTGGGTGTGGTGTGTATGTCTGCGCCCCTAACCCCGGCATGGTTCAAGGATCAACTGTACACATAATTTAATGTAAGTAGCTAGTTATACGCATGTTTTTATGGGTGTGTATATATATATATATACATACATGTATATAGTATCTTTTCAAAATAGAAAATTTAGAATAAAATGCGCTGAAGTATTAGAGATAAATTATTATCTCTAGGTGGTGGAATTATGGGTAACTTATACTTTTTCTCCTATAGTTTTCTTTATTTTCCTCTAAAAGATCAATACATGTTCTTTTTATTTCTCCAAGACAGGTTTATTATTTTTATTATTATTTACTTTTTCATTTTTATTTTAGATATAATGTGGATATCACAGCATTCACTCATTTTAAATATACTATTCAATAATTGTTTCTTAAATTTATAGAGTTGTTCATCCATCACCGCGAGCCATTTTAGCACATTTCCAACGTTCCAAAAAAGATTTCTTGGGCCCATTTGCAGTCACTCCCCATTCCCACCCTCCAGACCTAGGCAATCCCTAATCTACTTTCTGTCTCTATAGACTTGCCTTTTCTGGACATTTTTATCTAAATGGAATCACACAGTATGTGGTCTTTTTTAGTCTGGCTTGATTTACATTCTTTGAAAGAAAGAAAAAGAATAAATATTCTCTGGTTCTTTGCCTTTCCCATCAAAACCAAAGAAAATCCCTTATTTTCTTCCTCTTCTTAATAGGATAATCATGCAACAGCTCCTTTACTTCTATAGTTCTTGACCAGCAATCAAATCCCTTTTAGACCACAAGAGTAATTCGTAGAACAGTGAGCTTATTCCTGACATTTCAAGGGTTTCTTCTATCCTTCTTCCTCACAAGTTTCCCTATTTTTACATTAAAAAAATTATAACCATTTTGTTCTGATCACCTAGGCAGTCATTTTTGACTTGCCTTCTACTCTCATTCTTTTGACCAAACCAGTGACTCCATCTCTGAAGTGCAAGCGCTTTGGGAACCCCCAAATCTGATTCAGGAACCCCCAGTCCAGCAGCTGGGCTCTTGAGAGCAAATTATCAATCTTTCCTGAGGCTTAGTGTCCTTGTGCTAGTGAGTATACTGGAGTTACTGGTACCTAACACCAGGGCTAAATGGGAACATGTGAGGGCTCTGGATAAGCTAATGATCCACTGCTGTTCCTTTGAAAGGATATTTTTTAAGTAATTCTTCAACTTCTATTTCAAGAAAAGGCAGATTCCCCATAGAGCAAAACAGAGCCCTTGAGGGTCATTAGACCTATGCTCCCTAGAATACACATTAGACTACTTGGGCTCTCACTTCCACTCCAAGTAGCTCATCAGTGTCTTCCTTGCGACCCAATCAACACTCTCCCTGAAAGTACTGATAAATATAATTTTCTCTGTTTCATTACATTTTCAAAGATATTTGTCCCTTTTTGTGGAATAGTGCCCTGGGCAGCTGTCCTTCTGGCTTGGCTTCATAGAATGTTCTGAAGATTAAATGAGATAACACTTGTAGAGAACTCAGCATAGCATCTAACGCTCGGTGGATGTTCAATAAATGGTGACTATTACAGCATTATGGTCAAAACCCATGTCCACTCAGAGTCTCTGGTAATGACACGTCATATGAAGTCATGTTTTCCTCTAGCTCCTTACCTACACGTATTCTCTGAGTGAAGGCATTTTGAGAAAGCATTTGGTAACCTTGAAATGTTCTCAAGAGCTCCTTATAAATGAATCTTAATAAATAGAGGAGACCCATTTCTTCCTTCATACCTCTATCATTAAAAAAGCAACAACAGAAATACGTTTGGTACTCTCTGTATAGTATAACATTTTAAATGTTACTTACCTAAAACATGATAGAAATGAACAGGATGGAGGTCATCTGGGGACAAGCACTGAGCAGGGAGGTGTTGCTGAGGGAATACGCTGGCAGGTCTGAAACCAGATCCTGGCTATTGAGCAGAGGAAAAAACGGCAAATTCTTTGGAGGAGTTTTATTAGGATAAAAGCATTCCAGAATGTTTCATTCTCCAGTCTCCTTGAACCTCCTCTGAGCAGGGGAGTGAGGGCAGGGCAGGAGAGAAAAAAACCAAAGTGAGGTTAGCAGTGCTATCTCTTTCCCCATTATCTATCCCTAAATCACACCATAAATATAAACAGTGTTTGGCAGTAGTCCAAAAGATTTAACTTGTCCCCAAATTCCTAAATAACTGTTAGAGCTTAATTTGATTTTTGGCAGAATGTAACCAAACAACTTCTAGGCATAACATTTGTTGTGCACACCTACCAGAGACAGGCCCAAGTGACATGTGGGGCCAACCATCCAAGTTCAGGTGAGTGCCTTGGGATCTTGCCCCTCCCCCCCCACCCCCAAACCTCAGTTCTGCTCGTGGCTCCACTACTCCCCATTCTCAATTGTTTCTTTTCATGACGCGGGTGATGGAAGCCCAAGCAGCTCCTGGGTTCAAGGCCAGACTTCGGCTTATCATTCCTTCAGTCACCACTGATCACCATTCTAGCCCATTGGCTTCCCCTCCCTGCTTCCAACCATGCCTGCACTGCCTCCCCATTCCATTCCACCCCTTCCTCACCCCTCAGGAGAAACTCTCCCCTGGATCCCACACTCGGTGACCAGTGTGGGTGTTCTCACCCCAAGCCATGGTAACCCTCCTCTTCATTCCTTTTTAAAGGGGAAACGGGAAAGGTGAGCAAAAACCGCCAGCAAGTTTTGACAACAGCTGAGGAAGACTAGGGTTTCTAAGGAAACAGGGAGGCAGCAGCCATTTTAGTGGCATTCGCTGTCTGAAAAATATATACACTGACAGCCACCCCCCCACCCCCTCCCCACCCGTGGCGCCTTCCCTCCGTCCACGCTTCTGAGGCCCGGAGGTGAGGGGCGCGGCCCAGGTCTCCCTGAGACGTGGCGGCCACCTGTCGCAGGTGGCCGGCCACGCAGGGTCGCCCCTCGTCCCCTCCCCGCAGCGGGCGGGACCGCGGGACTCCCCACCCCCTGGGCGCCGCAGTGCAG